CCTCGCATCCCTACAAAGCCGGGACGGAGCACGCCGGGTTCTCACCGGACCAGGCTCTCACATCACCAAGCGCGAAGCGCCGTGAGGTATTCGGCGAGTCGCATGAAGGGTGAGCTGCATCCTGCTAAGGGTGTTCGGCATCTTGTGCTTACTTCCTTGCGTACGGATGACAGCTGCGTATGACTTAATTTATTTTCTGGTGCTTTCACTTCCAGAGACAGTTGTAAGCACTGTGTAACTGCCTCGAGGAAGCTTGACCATTTTAACACAACGTGGTGCGATCATCCCCCGTTGCGCGGAGTGAGGGTTCTCCACCCCGCACAACATGATCTACTCGACCACCATTATGGTTACCGCCAAAAAAAAAACGAGGTAAAAAAAAAAAACGGTAACCTGGTTGTCGAGTTCACGAAGTGAATTGGCTTGTTTTACAACGTCGTTGCCAAGCGACGAAAACCCAATCCCGATGGCAAACACCGAGTGGGGGGCTTGTTTTACAACATCGTTGCCAAGCGACGAAAAACCCAAACCCCGATGGCAAACACCGGGGGGGGGCGGCTTGTTTTACAACGTCGTTGCCAAGCGACGAAAACCCAACCCCGATGGCAAACACCGAGGGGGGGGGGGGTCTGCGAGGTTGTAAATTCGGCATCAGCCATGAGGACGAAGAAGAAGAATCCGCGCAAACAGAAAGAAAACATGAACATTCCCGCTGTGAAAAGAGGGAACCATCGCCCTCGGCAGACAGACAGACACTGGGGGAGATTGAGATTCTACTTCGTACCTACCTTTTTGAAAGAGATCTCCACATCACCGCCTCATTTCACGTGCATGGACCGAGTGGTCGATCACAAGGCCGACGCGCGTATCCCAGAACAAACCACTCGACCGATAGATACATCGAACCGCGCATGACGCGAGCGTTGCTCTTTCCTCTCCACCGACGAAGGTGTTCATGGGGATGGGGGAGCCCCTGGCGAACTACAAGAACGTGATGGAAGCGGTGAGGCGGATCAACACCGAGCTGGGCATCGGCGCGAGGCACATCACCATCAGCACGGTGGGGCTGGTGCCCCGCATCCTCCGCCTCTCCCAGGAGAACATCCAGGTGCCGCCCTCTGTGCTTGTTGTTGTTTGTTCTTGTTCTTGTTCTTGTTCTTGTTCTTGTTCTTGTCCTTGCTCTTGTTATTTTTTGTTGGCGTTATTGTTGTCGTTGTCGTTGTGTTTGATGTTGATGATATTTTTGGTTCTTGTTGTCGTCGTTGTCAATGCCGTTGGTGTTGTTGTTCTTGGTGTTGTTTTTGTCGTTGCTGAGTTGTTGTTGGCGATGTGGTGTTGATGTTGTTGTTGTTGTTGTTGTTGTTTTGTTTCGAATTGCCTGTTTGCGCATTGTGTTTTTCCCCTTATCACGAGGGGAACAGAGAAGAAAACCACACCACACGGACATAACACGTTTCCCACAGACACCCTCTGCGGTTATCCTACCGTGTCTCTGTCCATCTGCACCACCGTCCCTCCGTCTCCGCTGAGTAACTAAAGCACGCGTCCGGTTTTGTAATCCGGCGTTAGCTGACCCGCGGGACCGAAAAGAGTTAGAAACGATTCCACGGCGTGCGCGTATTTTCACGTTGTTACCATGCGTTTGAAACATCGCTGGAATATGTGCGTGTTACAATTGTGACCGTTGTATTTGAAACGTCTGTGGAATGTGTGTTGTGTTACAAATATTTTCCTTGCGTTCGTTGAGATTCACGGGGGTTGTTGTTCACCCGCTCCTCCCGCTGCCGCCGCCCCTCTTCCCCCCGGTGCCCAACGACCGCTTCCATAGGTCAAGCTAGCCGTGAGCCTGCACGCCGCGAACGACCGCGAGCGCGGCGCCCTTCTCCCCGTTAACCGGCGCTTCCCCCTGTCCGAGCTGATGGACGCGTGCCGGGAGTACGTGGACGTATCCGGGAGGCGGATGACGTTCGAGTGGGCCCTCATCCAGGGGGAGAACGACAGCGCCGAGGTATTTGTTTCACCACACTTCTTGTTATGCCACTGCTGTACTGCTTTTGGTAGCGCATATATACTGCTGTAGTTTCGGGAGCACACGCTAGCTTTGTGGAGATGAGAGGTTGATTGAACGAAGTCGTTTGCACCGAACGCCGAGGAAACATTCTACGTCACCCCTACCCCCCCCC